CTGCTGAACTCCTATTTTGATGACCTAATTCATGCCAGATTTAACCTTGTTGGGGGTAGATTCTAAAATTAAAATCCTAGCGCTTCGTTCAAGAAAACTCTTAAATCGCTCGGATGTATCCCTCTTGAGAACAGCTCATAGCATACTTCTCATAGATGTTGGTCTCCCATCCTATAACCAGAGTTAGCATCTCTCTTCCATTAAATGTTCTCAGGGTAGGCTTCAGAAGAATTTGGATAGAAAGAGGTTCACTTGAAATGGCAGTGTGAAATTTCCAGTCCTACTTGATGCTGTAACTTAATACACCAGATCTTGAAACCAAGACTAATTTTGAGGAAGGGGATGGGTTTATGTATGGCTGACACATCTTTTCAGTAGATATGAGATCCTTGATATACACATTCAGCAAAGAGTCTGAAATAACAAAACCCCTTCAGGTTCTTATTTACATCTAAGCTATGCAATAATATATCAATGTATAATTAACATTACAGAAACAATACAGAAAAAAAGTATTGCTGGATTTATTCTGGCTATGTGTTGAAGGGCCTGTACAAGTCTCAAACTAAGACTTCAAATTAACGTACTCTTAGTTAAAATTTCTTTCATCCAGATCTTTGTCTGTTCAGCGTGAACACTTAACATTTTTTTTTCTAAGTTTACTTTCAGCGACCATTTATGGACATTCCTAAATTGCTTACTTGAGTCTAAGATGACATAGCCATTCTGTGGCCATCCTTCAGGGTATATTCGGTATCGATGAGGTAGACAACTGATGTTTTTCTCCTTTGGCTCTTCATCTATGATGTCTGGGCACACACATTCCCCCCTTTCCCTTTGGAGACACTGGATTGTCACGGCTGGTGCACACCATACTGGATATGGGCAGTACTTTTCAGCCTTCCTTTCTCAAACGTCGTCTCTCTGTTAAACCTGTGAATAGCCACAGCCTGATAGGCGAGGCGAGCTCTAGTGAAGCGGGAGATCCACTCCCAGGCGTGCTGAAGGCAGCTCTCACACATACCACACGAATGCTTTCATCCCAGGCTTGTGATGTAAAAAATGGGCACTGCTCTTTTAAAGCAAAAATGCCTTCCTGGTTTTTTTGGTGGTTTTTTTTTTTTTTTTTTTGCATCACATAGTCCATGCCAAAGGGACAGGAGATGTTTCCCTGCGGCCCCAAAGGAAGTATCGGAGGGTGGGGATCAGCAGTGCCGTCCTTAGGATCATTCCTATGGGTTCTGGCTGGCCGGGGGCAGCCCCCAAGGGCTCGGCCATCCTCCCTGGGCAGGGGGCAGAGGCGCTGCTGCCTTTGGGGCCCGATTCCCCGCTGGGGAGGTGGCAGTGCTAGGGAAGCTGACTTGGGCATCTTAACTCTTCTGTCGGAACTGACCCTCTGATATAGGGGTGTGTGTGTGTGTGTGTGTACGTATATATAAATACAATGTATTTTGATCGGGGCATACACAAACATTCTGCATTTAACTACAGGAGCTGCAGCTTGAAAGGTGGGAGAGGGCTGAGGAAGAAGTGGTCGTTTCTGTTTGTTTCACTGCTGACAAGCACAGCACCCTCACAGTTCAGCCAGCCAGTGAGTTTCTAGTCACGTAAACGTCGGCGTATTTTCAGTATGCCTTTAGTCTTGGGTACAGGCTGTGTCAAGATTTTTAATGTTTGAGCTGCATATGCTAAGATTAGAGTGATTTTTATACTAAAATGTGTGCTGATGTTGATAACACTGACATGTTTAAGTATCTCTATAGACACCGTTATTTTGTACGTTGGTTTTGATATTGATATATGTTTTGCTAGCCTTAACTCCATTCTTTGAAGTTCTGCTTTGTTAGAAGGGTAAGAAATGAATGTCTGATGTTCTTCATGGTGCTAAAATAACTGTGATCTGTCTCAAATTATTCAGAATAAAGATGGTAATTCTTAAGCACCCCGTTTGTACCGCATGCATCATTTCCAGTCTTTTTTTTCCTGTAGAACTTGTCACTTTTTAGAAGTAATTTTGTGTGATATTCTGATAGTCATTGAATCTCATTCACAGACTTTTATACAAAAGCCTTTACAGCTTCTATTACCCCTTTACAGCTCTTATTACCACCCCATTGCATTTGCTCCTAAATCAATACATGGCGCAACCCATCTTGTTCCGATGGCACTGACGATCCACGTTAAGACCAATAAACCTAAACTACTGCTTCTGAAAATTTTATCTACCCTCTCATCCATTCTGGGGTTTAATGTCAAGCTTGCAGAGCACTTGCATCCACAAAAGGCAGAAGTCAAACTGAGGAAGGGCAGGAAACTGCGTCGGAATAAACTTCAGTGGCGTTTTCAAAGAAGTCTGTATGTTTTGCTTCACGAACTGCCAGTGTAATTCAGTGGACCTTTGATCACTTCCTGGCCGGCTACCGATTCCACCTTGACTTACCTCGGCAGTATGAAGTGTTTCCTCATTGACAGCTCCAGTAAATCACGGGAGTTCATTCACCGTTCCTTTGTAGTAGGGCCAAGTATTTCCTTTTCTATCTGATGATAAGGGGGAAGCAGTCCCCTTCCACCTGGGGCTGTTCTGTAGACTGCTTGTCTTTCAAATTGAAATTTGAAAAAGATGCCCGAAACCTTTATAAGAGCCTGGGTGCTGTTGCTGTTTGTAGAAGCTCGAGGTACAAAACCTCTCTGTATGTAAAACGAGGGGAAGCCTCCAGAATAAGTTTCAAATACTTTTGTACCTTTTGCAGGAAGCTGTTTTTATACCAGTATTTGCCACAAAAGCTAATTAACAAGACAAAATACATCTAGAAAGGTGGTTTGACTTGCATATGATTTTTCAGAAAAAGTTATTTTACACCTGAAATTACTTTATTCGAAATAACTCTCTACCTACAGCCCCAGGAACGGAAGCTCAGCAGCGTGCTGCGGATACCTGAGGGTAAGGCTTTGCACTTGTTGCGGAGATACTGACACGGCTGTGAACAATCAGATTTAAATGTTATCTTGTATGGTTATTTGTTGTAGCTAGGGTTTGTGGTTTTTTTTTTAATGCATATGTCTGTTCCCTCAGGTTATCCTGAACTGGAGCTGTACCTGCAACAGGCTAACCAGTGCCAGGAGAAACAGGATTAGGTTGCTGCTATCTACACAGAGTGGCTGTTACATTCTGCTGTGTATTTCTGTTCTGAATAACTTGGAAAACAAGTAGGGAAAAAAAAAAAATCCAACTTGGAATTGTCAGGCTTAAAAATAACAAGTACTCTGAAAGGTAAATCTTTCTTACAGGGAGTAGCAGCTCCCTAAAAAGCAGTAATGAAACGCTTTGAAAACCTGTGAGCTACTCCTGGCAGGTAGCAGAAACATATGGAAGAGTGCGCTTCACTATAAGCTAAGAGGTGACCCGACAACTCTGTTTGCCTTGGCAAGCTTTGTAAGCGCGACGCGACAGGGGCAGTGCAGACCAGCTACCCAGCCACGCTGGCTGAGGGGTCCCGTACAGTTTAAGCTGTGTGATAACACGGGTCGGGAGAGGGCAGGGGGGGCAAGCAAGCACTTTATCGCTGACCCAGGGGATACAAGGAATCAACCATAGAACCATAGAACCATAGAACCATAGTTTTGGGTTGGAAGGGACCCCTAGAGACAAAAACTGACTTTGAAAAAAATTTATCTGCAGTGTTCACGGAGTGTTGATTACACCACCCACGTGAAGAGCGAGAACCTGAGCCCGGCTCTACGGAGCATGCGGGCTGGCGGCGGGGTAAGTGCAGGCGTCGTGGCTCCCCCGGCCCTCTGGAAACCGGGCCTGGCGTTGGCCGGCCGGGGGCCGCCTGCCCCCCCGGGAAAGCTTCCGGGGCCGTCAAC